GTTGTGGCCTCTCCCGTTGCGGAGCACAGGCTCCGGACGCGCAGGCTCAGTGGCCACGGCTCACGGGCCTAGCCACTCCGCGGCATGTGGGATCTTCCCAGACCGGGGCACGAACCCGTGTCCCCTGCATCGGCAGGCGGACTCTCAACCACTGCGCCACCAGGGAAGCCCTGATGCTTACTTTTAAGACTATTTCAAAGCCTAAAATTTTCTTCTAATCTTTTCCCTGCAAAGGAATCCTAAAATACTACTTGTTGGCTAATATAAGTTTTGTATGCTAAGATGTTTGGTTTTATAGTTTATGTATGTTTGTATATATTAAATAAATATATATGTATATATAAATATTATGTTCAGTTTGGAGTCTGGCACAACTCCATTATGTGGATTAGAGCGTAAAATATTATAGAGGATAAAGTACTAAATGAAACGTAATATTTATTTATAAAAGGTGTAGATTGTTAAATCACAGACGGCAGTGCTATGAACATTGTGTGTGAGGAGACCGGCCTTTGACCCCCTGGAAAGCACAGCTCAGGAGTCACTAGCGACCATTCTTTTTATTCTCAAAACAAAGCTTCTCAGAAAACACGCTAAGATTTTATTTACAGGGAATTCTCTGACACATTTCAATTGCTGTGTAGTCAAGTAGAGCAAGTCCTGAGTAATGACCGACTTTCACGTTTCTGCAGTCGCGCCTATTCATTAGAAGTTAGTGTTTTATGTTGTTGGTCTGTTCTGGTTCTTCTTTGTAGGTGAAAGGCACTGAAAGAAGTACAGTTTTTTAAAACTTGAATAATTCTGTAGTTATATCTCCTTAGAAAACTTAGTCACATAGCCATGGAAATGAAAGAAGACATCAGAAGTGACTCAGTTTAGCGGTTATCATTCCTTTTGTAAAACAAAACAAAAAAACAATGCCATGTTTTTTGGATAAAAGTTAGAATATATACGGGATTTTGTTGTCTGTCTGTTTCAAAAGAAGACTCATTTGTGTTCTTTTGGGGAACCAGTGCCTTATTGAATTTGTATATACTGTAATTATTCAGGACTAGGGAACAAACAATTGTATTGTATTTGTTACAAATTGTATATGGCTTTGTTTTAACATTCCCCCCCAGAATAAAATGGTTTCATTCTCCCCTTGGAAAGAACATGTCTGTTATCTTATAGTTGTGTCTTTTTTCCTCTTTAAAAATTTCACATTGTAGCAGGCGGGAAAGGCAGCCATGGAGAGCGTTGCAGGTAAGTGTGTACATCTGGTGGCAGGACAGCAAGATGAATGGTCTGATGTCTCCTGTTTTCTCTATAATTAGGAGGCACGGTCATCTGTTGAGAGTGAGAGGAAAGGTAGAAAAGTTGGTGACAAGGTCTAAAATTGCATCGTAGGACATCACAGCCGGATGGCTACAGGGAACGCCGAGGGCCCTGTTAGGATGGATGATGCTAACTGTGGCTTAGTGGCCAAGGTGTGGCCCCTGGACCACCATACAGCCCGCATGTGAACCCGGGCTCCCTCATTCTCTCCACTCTGTGACGGTAGGCATGTTGTGCCCTATCGAAGACTCAGTTTCTTCCCCTTGAAGGTGGGAATAATATCAATCTCTACTGCATGGAGTGGTTCTGAAGATGAAATGAAATAATCCATGCGCCGAGCATGAGGTAAGCATTCAACTAACACTCAATTACTAACTATTAGCTATTATTACAAATTCCTTGTGCTACTCTTCCTCTGTAATTTTATGATTTTATTTTTCTATCAGCAACCCAACGTAGGCATGGAGACTGCGGCCACTGGATTCATTCAGGATTACCAGGCATATGCAGCAATGAGTCATGGAAAATCGGAATTATCATCATCAAGGTGATGGCTGATGTGGTCCAGAGGAAGGAGGGGGATTAAAGAAGAGGCAGCTGATAGGCCCAAAGAAGCAAGGTCAGAGGACAGGGAACCATGCTGGGGTCGAGATGGTGTGATAGCGGTTACTGAGAAAGGGTCTGTGTTCAGAATCAAGATTTCAAAGAGGGAGTAGCAAGGTCAAGGACAGGCTGAAGGTGTGATCACAGGGGTAGGCAGATTTATTAGTGGACAAGATTCTTGGTGATGAAAGAGGAACCCAAAGGCCAGGCCACTGGATCTGTCTCTGGGGATTTTGAAGCCGCCCAGGATGGTGGCAGTCTAATGACATGAAGATTGTGAGGCAGGGCTCTCCGGGGCTGCAGGGGAATGGGGGGCAGTCAGTGAGGGGCAGAGAGTGGAGACAGAGGCCGGTGGGGCCCGGCGGCCTGGCGTACAGAGGAGTGGGGCTCCATGCAGGGGCAGCAGCCCGGAGGGGCACAGCCGGAGGAGAAAGGCTCCATCCTTCTTGCCAGCTGCGAGGTACGCGGGGTGCGGAACAACCCAGCTGCTGCTATTGTTTCTGAGTCAGTGGCCCCTGGAGAGGAGAAAACCCTCTGCAGAGGGACAGGGAAGTTGCGAGGTTGTTTGTCCATGGACTGGGAATCCTGGAGGGCAGAGAGCAAAGTTTGGTTTTGAGGGCGTCCACTGGAGACGATTAGGAGAGAGGAAATCCAGAGTTGTTTGGGCGCAGAGACTACAGGCGGGCTTGCATCTCAGTTACCAGGGACTCTGAAGTTTTTGTGTGATTGGCTGTGTTTAGCCAGCTGCACTTATGCCAGGAGAATTCATCCCAGCACTGGGATTCAGATCGATTTAACTCCCATCCCATGGTTTTCACCATCTCAGTTCTGTGGAAGAACATAGTCTGAGCCCCAATCTTCTCCCGAGTAAATTGGGACAAAATTCCCACCTCACAGAGCTCTTAGGAGGAACAAGTGAGGTGAACGTGTGACGAATGATGGCCCCGCACCAGCTATACAGCAGGTGCTCATAAATACTGCTTTTCCTCGCTGACATTAGTTTTACAGGATGTAAAGATGGCAACGTTTAAAACAAGCCAGAGTTTGCAGTGGTGGGAGTGGGGTGACACCTCTCCCACCCTCTCTGCACCCCGCTTCTCTATGCTGTGGGCTTTCCCGGGACTCAAAGGCAGAGAGACAGTAAATCCCAGCTGAGGCGAACAGCATCTTCTCTTGCTCTGCTCACTTTTAAATTGCAAGCTTGGTTGTTCCTTCTTGTCACAGCCGCAAAGTACAGGTGGTAGTTTGGTAGGGATTGCATTGAATCTGTAGATTGCTTTGGGTAGTATAGTCATTCTCACAATGTTGATTCTTCTAATCCAAGAACATGGTATATCTCTCCATCTGTTTGTATCATCTTTACTTTCTTTCATGAGTGTCCGATAGTTTTCTGCATATAGGTCTTTTGTCTCCTTAGGTAGGTTTATTCCTAGGTATTTTATTCTTTTTGTTGCAGTGGTAAATGGGAGTGATTCCTTAATCTCTTTCAGATTTTTCATCATTAGTGTATAGGAATGCTAGAGATTTCTGTGCATTAATTTTGTATCCTGCTACTTTACTAAAGTCATTGATTAGCTCTAGTAGTTTTCTGGTAGCATCGTTAGGATTCTCTATGTATAGTATCATGTCATCTGCAAACAGTGACAGCTTTACTTCTTCTTTTCCAGTTTGTGTTCCTTTTATTTCCTTTTCTTCTCTGATTGCTGTGGCTAAAACTTCCAAAACTATGTTGAATAGTAGTGGTGAGAGTGGGCAACCTTGTCTTGTTCCTGATCTTAGTGGAAATGGTTTCAGTTTTTCACCGTTGAGAATGATGTTGGCTGTGTGTTTGTCATATATGGCCTTCATGGGGTTGAGGTAAGT